GCGGTGAGCTGGTAGTATGGGAATGTGAAGGTACACCTCCGTCAAGTCTATGGAGGGCATGAAGTCGCCTCGTCGGATTTCCAGGAGGATACTTGAGGGATGCCATCTTGAAGCACCTGTAGATCAGGTAGGAATTCAGGCGCTTCAGATCCAGAATTGCCTTCCAACCTCCGAACTCTTCGAGACCACGAACAGGTTGGAGTACAGGCCTAAGCCGTACTCCTGTCCTGGAATGGGTTCCACCGCTTGGATGTCCAGCAGATGTTGAATAGCTAGGTCCATGGGACGGCGGTGTTCCGGATCCTAAGATGGGGGGAAGGTCCTGAAGAGTGTTGGGGGGAGGGAGAGGAACTCCAAACGAAGGCCGTACCTGATCGTGGATCTGACCCACGCGTCTGATGTGATCTGATCCCACTGATCTTCAAAGGATGCCAGGCGGCCGCCTATGGGTTGACTCGGATTGGAGTCATTTCCCTCTGCAGAAAGGGCGCCCCCCCTCGAAAGGGGCACTTGGACTGTCCCTGAAATCTACCCCTATCCTGGTAGAAGGGTCGCTGGCCCTGCCTGTCGTACCTGTAGGGGGTGTAGCATTGTTGTCTGAAATCAGGCTCACAAGAGGCGTCTAGAAGTGACTGAAGTGGCAAATGCCCTGGATGCAAACTTAATGGAATCTAATGTGGCATCCGCCAAAAACTGGGTGACCGCAATAATTTTTGCCAGGTCCTGATGGACCCGTTCATCCTGGATTGGAATGTGATCTTACAACTGCCGCAGCCACATGGCCATTGTCTGGTTAAAGTAGGAAGCAGCAGCTGCAGACTTAATCGCCCAGGTGGAAACTGTAAAATTTTTACGTAAAATGAGCTCCGCCCACTTATCCTCGGGCTTAAGCTTATCTGCTACATCACCGGTGACAACAGTGGAGACGCTGGCCAGGAGTGCAATGGGAGGATCTACGGTCGGTAACTGAAGGGCCTTAGAGAAAGCCTGCTCCACATTGTAGAAGTGGCAGTCATTGTTCCTGGGTTGGGCAAGGAAGATGGCTGGGACCATTGGTTCTGAACTACTTCTAAGAAAAGGGGTGGAGCTGGCACCTCCTCCTTATCTATATTTGGATTAATAAACATAGTGAGGTTTGGGTTCCTCTGTTGAGAGACTGGCGGGGCCCCAGTGCCAATCTGAGTAGTCTTCTTGGCCTTGTGCAATAGGGGTTTGAAGGCCAGAGATGTAAAGAAGCCTGGGAAGGCCTGGGTATCTGAAGGAATAGCCTCCTCGTTGTCTGAGAAGCCTAATTCTGGGCGAGCACCCTCCCCCAAAGCAGAGGCCTCACTGACCACCGATGGGGAATGAGCCCTGGCCTGGCCTAGGCCCCGGGCTGGGGAAGGAGACTTGTGGCATCTATTGTCAGAGAGGGATCTAGAAGCCCTTTGTGATGACTGGTCCCTTGGACTAACCCTGATGTGATGCCTCTATTGCTGAGGCGATAAGCCTCCTGATGCTCTCAGGTAGGAGGTCTAAATCTTCCAGGTCCTCCTCCGAGGGTCACGTGGAAGACGGGCCTTGAGGGGCTAGGAGGGAGGGAGGTAGATAATCCCCAGATCCCCTATCTAAAGGGTCACCATCCCCATCCCTAAATGATCTAGGGGAAATAGGGGGAGAAGGGGAGGCCACCTGCCTGCCACGTCTGGCTGGGGAGACTGAGGGGATGAAGAGAGGGAGAGGGGGGAGGAATGGCCTCACCGGAGGTCTAGATCTGTGTGGAGAAGTGGGTCGAACATGGTGAGATAGTTTCTCAGCCCTGGCCACTCTCTTCTCCAAGGTCTTCTATCTGCGAAGCTCATCTCTCACTGTGGCCCTGGAGGGGCGCTAATCCGCAACCTGGCCTGGCCTTCCTCTCTCTCCTCCCCATTGCTCCCCTCAGGGTCCTGCGCTGGCCCGATGCTTGTAGAGGCCATGCCTCTCTCATGTGGCTGATCTGCTTGGAAGTCGACCCAGAACCTTTCTGTCCTCAATGTCGGTTGGAGGAGCCTTGCCGCTGATCTCAATGTAGGCCTTGCTGAGGTCGGCGCCACGAGGTCGCTCCAAAATGGTCACCGCACCTCGTGGTGAAAAAGAAATAGGCCGCCCAGTAAGGTGATTCTGAGGTGGAAGCCTCTCGGCAAGTCAGTTAGTAGCGCTGCTCCCACATGCCTTGGCCGCATGGCCGCGCTGCTGCACAGGCTTCCAAAGCACTCTATATGAGACGCTTCGTCAAGGCTAGAATGACACACCCGATTTCTTCCGCCACGGCGAGCTGTTAAGGTACGGTGGCTTCAGGGCACGTCTGTGAAAATCCCAGCGACTTGGCTCCCATTCTGCTGATCTAAGGACGATCTTGTCCTTCTGCCTACCTTGTTGCCTTAGCCTCTCACAATCGCGGCTGCGATGGGAGCTCGTCACCCCTGCACACCCAGGAGTCGGACCACCCCCTTCGGCCCAGAGGCAAGGACCGGGAGCCCTGCCTCTGACTAGCAGCCTCGATGGCCAGCAGTCCGATAATTTAGCAATTTAGAATATCCAATTAATCGAATTAAATAACTATTTATAACAAATATTAATATCTCAAGGAGCCAAAAAAAACAGTGCTTGGACCAGGAGACTGAGAGGAAACTGGAAGCCAATAGGGAAGGATGGTGACGTTAAGAAAATTCCCTCAGTCTCTGGACCAATCAGGCTGTGACTAAACCCTGTTGCAGCCCCTTCCGCTGGGCTGCAGGAAAACTGCTCCATAGTAAAAAACAAATGTGTATTTTTGTATTCCCCTTCTCTCTTTCTCTCACACATATGTATATAGCATTACATGAAAGCTATCCTTACATAGAGTGGGACAACTCACCATGACCAACTTGCCACAGGACAATTCAACAAATACAAACATTACATTAATTTCAAGAGAACCATGGTCAATAATAATGTAATAAAAATGTCAATCCATAAATACAAGAGTATTTACAATAATTTCAATGAAAATGTGGTTACCAATAATAAAAATAATTGAAACAATATAGTGTTGAATTGTCCTGCGGCGAGTTGTCCTGTGGCAAGTTGGCCATGATGAGTTTGCCACATAAACATAATGTAAACAATACTGTAAATTGCAGTCATGTGATCACAGGACACTGCAAACAGCTATACATGTGGAGCAGTTGCCAAGGCCTAAAATATAATCGTATGACTGTGGGGAGGCAGCCGTTGAAAACTTGAATCTGGGACATTAGTGCTGAGGCTCCGAGAAAATCTGTGGTAATTTCAACAGTTGCTAAGCGACCAGGCTTAATGAGGACTACCTGTATAAGTATATTGTTATGTCCTTTCTGTTGCAGGATTGAGAAACATCACTGTTCTAAAGTTAGTAGTTGTTTTGAGAGATTATTATCACTAATGATCAATCTTCTAAAGCAAAGAAATCTTAAATTGCCCTTCTAAAATCTTTAGTCCAAATAATTACTAGCTTCCACTTTCTTTCTGGTTAATAGCTTTTTCACTGTAACAATTAACAATTAAATGCAAAGAAGCAGTTAACATAATTTATGCGTCATATAAGTATCTAGTTCCTGTACCTTTAACTGCACCTATTTTACTTATCAATGAATGTTTGGCTTTATTTATTATTTATTTATTTTATTAAATTTATTAGCTGCCCATCTTAAATTGAAGCAACTCTGGACAGCTTATAGCAGTAAAACATTAAAATAATAAAGGATAAATATTTCTAAAATAATAAAAATGAAAATTACGATGAAAAATAGAATTATAGTTAAAAGATAGGTAAGAAGCAGGATGTTTGTTAGGAGAGGGAGGTAGGATTGCCTTTTAAGTCATCAACTACCTCTAGTATGAAGCTCCCTCATGGGGGCCTCAAACCATCTGGGAAAGTTAGGTGTTCAGGCCCTTATGGGAGGTTAGAAGGATGGAAACTGATCTCACCTCAGAGGGTAAGTTCTTCCAAAGGCAGAGGTGGCCCTTTTCCTTGACCCTGCCAACTGGAATTCCAGAAGTGCTGGGGTCCACAGCATGTTTCCTTTGCTTGCATGGAGTGGTGCAGGCAATGCCAATAGGGTGAGACGATTGATATCTTTTCTACACTATATACATGGTACAGTATATGCTAACTCAGCACAGAACCAGCTGTTTTCAGCAACTATATCAATGTTCACATGATAGCCATTCATGTTACACAGTACTGATGAGACTTAGTATCTCATTTTTAAATTACCTCATCTTATAAAAAAGAGAGCAATTATTGTCAAATTGCAGTTCTAACTAATTTGCCTTCAAAATCTTTAGGAAACAGAGGCTATGACTGAGCTTCTTGTTAATCTCTATTCCTCCTACATGTTACAGCATATTTAGTTTTAGAAGAAGAATAAATAATAAAATGCCTGAAAAACATCTGTCCTATATTTACATGTTTATTAAAGTATGTTTAATATAGAGAATACTTTTACTTTTGCTTTACAATACAGTCCCTTGTTGAATCGTTCTTAATGTTCTTCTACTGAAGAGTAAGAAGAGATCCTGTGACAAAGTCAATTCATTTCTAATCTTACCACATCAATATTTCTTACTTGATTACAATTGGCCCCTTCTAAGGAGGCAAATCCCAAGTGCTGCAAAATAATTATATCTGTAGATGTTGTTTTTCCATCAAAAACAAACTTTATATATTTAGTCAAATGTATAGGCTGCCTGACTCTCAAATGACTCTGGGTGTCTTACAACTAAAAACCAACTAATTAAAAAAATACAACTAGAAGACCAAAGACAAACAATCAAACCCATAAAACCAAACCAAACCAAACCAAACCGGAGTTCCACAAGCAGGTCTTCAACAATTTTCAGCTGGGCAGATATTGTAATTAAGTTAAGGTATCCTTTTCCTGAAATGACAGCTGTGGCATCCATATTGTAAGTCACACTTAATGTATGCTCAGAAAAAAACTATGAAAAAGTATACATACCCAACATGGCTATAATCCCGATATGGCAGCACTGAAAATATGCTGCAGAAGGATCTTCTGCCACTAATAAGGACTATTCTAGAAGGCAAACAAGATAAAGGATATGATCTAGAGTAGAATATCCAGCAATTCAGAATGGTCTCATAAATCTACTTCTCATTCTTCTTTTTCTTTTATGTTACTCTTGCTATTCCTGTCTTTGCTGTATGTACTCTACATGCCATTCCTTCCTCCAGTTTTCCCCACAGCAACATCCCTGTGATGTAGGTTAGCTGTAGGGATAGCTCAAATCACCAAGATGGCTTCCATGGGTGGGGATGATTATGAACCTGGCTCCTCACAGGATCTAATATTTAACTCCTCCATGATCACAATGCCTGCCTATTATTTTGCTGTGGACAAAGTATTTTCAAATGTCAAAATCCAACCTTCCCTGCTCATCTAGTAACATCAGATGCAAGTCCAGGCATTATGAATTTGTAAAACACAAGGACAGCTTATTATCCCCTTTTGGAAAGGGCAGCCAGTCCTTTGAAAGAGTGTAGCATTAATCATACCATTAATGTGAGAAAGGAAGGTCTATTCTCTGTATTTCAAACAAGCACAACAACTGCAGAACAGAATACTGTAGACATTATTAATATGAGCTTTAAGAATGCTATGTCTAAGAAACAATGAAAGTACACCGGGCAGGAGATAAGAAAGAGAAGAAAGTAAGGATCTGGCCCTGGATCAGGTTACCATAAAACTTTCAGCAAAACCCCCAATGCAGCTGTCATATTCTTGTCTCTTTCATCATGTTTAAATATCTGACAAGGTAATCCCCAGAAAGCTACTAATGAGACAGCTAATTATCTTTTTTTTTAAAGCAGAATGCTGTGCCAGAGATGTTTGACAAATAAATGATTCTTTCTGCTCATGTTTATAAAGATAACAATAGGTAAATCCTGCTGAACAGATGACAGTACAGATACTTAATAGCTAACCAAATCTAACATCAAACAGATGGCTTTACTATTTTGTGTTTTCATTCAAAAAATGAAAGCACTACAATTTAAAAGAGGCATATTCGAAGCCTCTTCAAACTATGCAATGAAGTATCAAAGTATGGAATGAAATTGTGCAAATTGTTTCTAATTGAGAACACAGGTGGCACTGTAGTAAATTACTACACAGAATGTCTGCTATGTTAGATGTTAATCTTTTAGGAATGTTCATTTAATCCATTGGGAATTGAACTCCATGAAGCATTAAAACTGAACTTTCATTCACCCTTTAGTTTACTTGGTATTTACTCTGCATTGCTGATCATGAACTACATATTTTAATTACAAGAAGAATGAAAAAACATAAAGCAAAATGTAAGGCTAGCAATCAAGAGACTAGTCATAATAATTTTTAATTAAGGTATTCATGACTATGATAATCACATCCGGACTGCAAAAACCTGTTCAGCGATTAGATAACAGAAAAGTGTAAGAATCTCTCTGCTACCTACTGTTTCAAGGTTTTTTGAATAGTATTATGCTTTCTCATAACAAAGTTCAATATATAACTGAAGTTGGCAAAAGAAACCCAAGGCATTACACTAGCCTTACTTATTAGAAACAGTTGACCACAGGAACGGATTTTAAAGAATCTTCATCTAAAGCTCTTAACAGGACACATACAATAGAAACACCACTGTGAATGTGGTAGAGATCAAAAAGACCAAGTAGTAGGGAAGAAGAAATAGTTCCCTGTAAGAAACCCTGACAATTAAAACCAAACATGCTGGACTAGATAGGAAAACAATCTTTCTTTGTAGAAACCAGCCTGCCTTGTTATTATAAACAAATGCTATGGTTTCATTGTGAAATAATTCTTCTAAATGCCTTCAGTTATTAGTCATGTACAGAAGTCTATCCTGCTGCATAAGAGCTTTTAAACTGGCAATACAAACAGATAAAATAAGGAAGCAGGTTTCATGAACACATTTCCTTATTTCTAAGGATTTGGAAGTCACTGCTGATTGTTAGTGGCTGAAAAAGAAAGCCATCCAATTATTCAGATATTTTAGCACTGAAATAAAGTTCTTTCTCTCTTGCACGCCCAGCATCCATTTGTATATCATCAAATAAGTTAGGTGGTCATTTATGCTACCAATTTCACAACATCTCCAGCACAAAATAAGAAACAAACATTCTTTACACAATTATTCCAGACAGAGTGTGCTCAGGCTTCATTTCTTTTCTATACTTAAAAAATCCTAGTCTTCAACTCCAATAAGTTGGTATTGCTCAGTCACTGAAATCTAACATTAAGTTTCAAGACAACTGCTGACTATTCCCTACTGCATCGAAGAGTCCCTTTGCCTATTATATTTCATGGTTCAACTGTAACAATGTAGGATTTTATTACTTCTGTTTCTTATTATGTTGTACAGCACACAATCTTATTGAAGTGTTATTGAGAACAATGATGCCTGTTCATCTTTCACTCCTGTAAATATCTCTTATTAGCTAGATGCCTAGGCCTATCAAAATAGTGTGCTTGATTTCATGTAAAGATTTAATCTTCACATTACTATGAATCAAGCTTGTTCATGTACAGAAGAGATTAGCACAGCTGCAACCTTCAGTAAATAAATTATATTGATAAAGATTAACTAGCATTTATAGTTGGTGAAACTACATGAAGAGACCTCAGTATCTGTTGCAGATATTTGCCACAAATAAAATGTTCCAGTTGATTTGTTCTATGGATGGAATACAGAAGATTTTAAACCATTACTTCTCAGGTTAGTATTCTGCAGTTGTATTGGGTTAGAGTTCCTCAAATTCCCAACCAACACAGGAGTGGCCATGATGGTTGGAAATGTTATATTTTGTGCTTCAATATATCTGGATAGACAGGCAGATAAAATGTATATTATTTATAATTTAGATTTCTATAAGTTGACCCACTCAGCATGGATTCTGGGCAATATATTATTAAAACTAATGCACTAACTTAAACACAAATGAGCTAACTTTAAATAAGAGTTACATATAGCAAGGCGAATAATGTACTATAAGCAAGGCAGATTATACATACGAGTACAAAACCAACCTATCTGGGTGCTTGGGGAAAAAAAAATGTTTCAAAAGATTATCTAAAGATTAGCACAGTCATGGCAGCCTAAACCTCTGAGGCAATGTTATTCCAGAAGGCAGAGTTCATAACAGAGAAAGCATGCTTTCTAGGTCATAGAAACAGCACAACAACAATTTTTAAAACATGTAGCTCAACTTGCTGATCAGCATACATAAATAATTCTCCATCAATATGCTTGATGATTTTATTTGCAGAGTTCTTCCATATGAAAACATACAGTTCTAAATTTAGAATCCCATTTCTATATGCCACCCCCCAATAATTTGTTCTCATTTCCTCTATTCATTATATGGCTTTTTTTTCCTGCAAAATACCTGCCACTTCTTGTATCATTCTGCCGCAAGTTCTTGATGAAATGAATCTTCTTAAAGTTCTTTGGTCTGGGTGAGCCTGACAGAGTCCTGCATCTAAAAAATAATGATGTTGAAAAAATTAAATTCTTTCTGTATAGCGGAATCTCTCAGCACAAAAACAAGAAGGCAATTATTCAAGTGACGTCTCTACTAACATTAAGGAGTTTAAAAAAATAACAGAATGTAGAAAAAAAACACCTTACATTTAAAAAAATAAAACAATGTATTTAAAAACTAAACATAAAACTTTTTGGATAATGCCGTAGCTGTCTTTAGGAAAGCTGTTTACAAAAGAATGCAACATTTTTTTCTGTCACAAGAATTTTCTGAGTATGTATCTTAAAGTGTATGTTATAATTTCTCTGTTGCAAATTATTTTGGAGTGAGTGAAAATATGTCTCATATATAAATAACTAGGTGCATGAGATTTTCCAAATATTTTCTGCCTCCTTTTTTTAATTTTCCATTTGCCAACAAGATCTCAGAAATGGAATAGATTTGACATCTAAGGGGGTATGATGATATAAATAATACTAATTATAATATTCATTTTAAACACCAAGACAACTGCAAAAATTGCTTTCTTTTAAAGAAAATGTTGCACAATACGTTGCTTAGTGAATAACCACCCAGCTGTTCTTTGTATTATATATATATTGACTTAGTAAAAACAATATTCTTGGAAGTGGGAGTGTTAATTTCTGGATAGCTTAATTTATTTTTGTAGGACCAAAAGGAAATGTCTTTTATAGGAAAGAAATATCCCTATCTTAAGAACAGGAAATTACAAACCTAAAATAATTAGATACAAGATCCAATGAACAACTAAAATTAATTATTTTCCTGTCAATATTCAGAATGGCTTTCTCTGCTGAAGAACTGGGGAAGGGAGAACAGCAGGTAAGGAAAAAGTTATAGAACTTATGTGACTCTGCTCAGAGTAACATTTTGTGAGATGTGCAGCTATACAAATTTGATAAATAGTTGAAATTTATCTAATACTTAATGTTTTTATATTTATCAAATATATTTTTCTAAATATATTATGTTTATTTAAACAATAATTATAAACATTATTTAATTGATTTACACATTTTTATTTTTATACAAATGGAACTACAAACTGCTGAATTGTAAAAAAATTAGTTAGCATCGCTTATTTCTGTCTATTTAAGAGAAACTGGAAAGTATTTCTGCTAACTATTTTGCTGTTTTTCAGTAGAAGAAAAATTTAATAGAAATACTACTGCATTTTAATATGTAATTTGGCACTGATTTGGCACCTGAGTTCATGCATTTGAACCACAACTGATCACAAGATACACAAAACAACATATAAACTAAATATCCCTTCTGGAGACTTTATACTGCTAATTATGCTTATTTCCATAATTCTAATTTGCTCTCCTTGTAACATCTTCCTATTGCTCTTGGCAATCGCAATGGGTTCCAATTAAAAGATACCTCACTGTGAAAAACGCCACTGGAAAGATCGCCTTAAATAAATGATATAAAATATTAAACATTATTTCTTTTGGCAATTATGCACATATTTAAATAATGTACAATGATACTTTCCTTCTTGTGAATGTGCAGTTGTACATGCTACATAAAATAACATTTTACTACTAAGAAAGTGGAAACGGTAAAGGTTCCACTCGCACATATGTGCTAGTCGTTCCCAACTCGAGGGCGGTGCTCATCTCTGTTTCAAAGCCAAAGAGCCAGCTGTCTGAAGACATCTCCATGGTCATGTGGCCGGCATGACTAAACGCCGAAGGGGCACGGAACACTGTTACTTTCCCACCAAAGGTGGTTCCTATTTTTCTACTTGCATTTTTACATACTTTCAAACTGCTAGGTTGGCAGAAGCTGGGACAAGTAATGGGAGCTCACTCCGTTATGTGGTGCTAGGGATTTGAACTGCCGAACTGCTGACCTTTCTGATCGACAAGCTCAGCATCTTATCCACTGAGCCCCCACATCATTTTGTTATTTCTGTTTTTGTTTTAAGAGACAAAAAAAGCAGACCTTTTCAGTTCAGTTTAAACAATAATGAATTGATAAACCTAAGCCCATAAAGATGATAAGGGGAGTTACATAATAATGGTTATGTATTTTTCAAAATACAGGAACTAAAAGAAATAGCCATTTCTCTTCCTGGGCGGGACTTACTGATGGAAGCAGCTAAACATAGCTGCTCCCGAGTTACCAGTTGCGTTATCTGTTTAGATG